CCCTTCCTTCGGGGCTGGAGTAACAGCCCCTACGAGGAAAGCCACCCCGATGCCCTACGAAGCCTGGGCCCAGCATACTTCCATCCCCCAAAAAACAGCCGTCTGCCCTGCTGGGGTATTTCTCTGGAGGAATCAGCTAGCCACAGCACAGAGCTTGGCTTAAAATCACCTTTCCTCTCCATCCGTGGAAGTCACATTGTTTATTTGTATGTATCTGTGCACATAAAATTATTGCTCCCACCAGTCAGATGTCAGGCCATGTCCTTGAGGTTTGCATTCACCATTATGTCAGTGGTGCTCAGCTTCCCTATTTCCCTGAAGTATTTCATGACGTGAGGTCGGTGTCTCCAAGTAACCTTTACTCCATACTCATGCTCGGGAGTATCCATAACCAGTACTGTTGCCGACTCCTCTCTCCCACAGGGATCAATACCAAATGCCAGCTCTTTTTCCAGATGCCAGGCATGGCTACTTGTTTGTGGCAGAGCTCTGCAGCATCTCTGGTTCCTTATGGAAGGTACCTGTGGAGTCTCTACATTCGGTGGACTAAAGACTGCTGGCTCCACAGGCTGGGAAGCAGGTAACGGTATTTCTCTACAGTTCTCTGGACTGTTCACCTGGATGTTGGCTTTTGCTGCTGCTCGTTTCTTGGGCTGGCTGCAAGAGCTCTGCGTGTTCTTCCTTGAGCATTTCGGATGATCCGAGGGGTGGACTGCACGTCCTTCTGGATTCTCAAAAGTTAAAGGAGGAAACTTGCAGGCTATACCTTTTCGACAAGCTCCTCCTGTGTGAAACGAACTGGGGTTGGCATCCTGATTCTGGGGTTTGCGAGGACCACAATGCTTCTTCTGGCATGCTTTCAACACCACTGATTCAGTTGGTTCAAATTGTGGGCACACCTGAAGGAAAAGGTGTAGTAATAAGAAAAAAGCAACAATTTTCTCCAGACAAAGTATTGCCAACCTGATTCTAGTCCTCCACTTATCCAATCTTTTTTTCAGTGTGTTCATTAAGTGGGAAATCTGGTCTGCCACTATTTTCAGAAAAGAGCTATCCTTCAACAACTTAAAAGGCACCCAAGATTTTGGTTATAAAGTCTAACCAGTGTCTATTTCTGTAACCCCTGCAGATTTAAAACAGTTCAGAGATGGATCCTATTTCTTTCTGTGTCTTAGCATAACTCTGAATAGATTCAATTACCTACTACCTCAGTTTCCCTAGACAGGTAGCGGTTGAACCCAAGAGCAATAAAAAAAATTATTTAAGGGATGCCCACTTAGCTCCATCACCTTAGATTATGTTAATAAGGCTTCCAGACTATTCCCTCAAAGCATATTTACTTCAAAACATAGTTAATATCTATATTCTAGAGTAACAGATTACCCAAAAAGCACTTCTAAAATCAGCTTTCTACAGAAGATGGTCAAAGCTCAACAATTTATATTTCTTTGAGAGATTCTGGACTCTTACTCAAAACCTGGAAATCCTTCTATTATGGTATTCTTCATCTTCCTGGGTATCAAAAAAAAAAAAAGGTTCCATTTCTTGCAGTTTGCTTTTCCCTAGAGCACACCAAACTGGGTTCAAGCTACCGTAACTACAGATCCCTTCCAGCATTGCTCAGTTACCACATAGACCCCTCCAAAAAAAAAAAAAACCTAAGTGCAATCTAATTAAGGATTGTGTTTGTTTGCTGTACTACTTAACTGTTTGAATGCAAAAAGCCTTTGTGCAGGAAATGAGAGAATTGTTTCCCTGATAACTTTATCCTGGCAGATACTTAAAAGAACATAGAGGAACCACTGACTTTGAGGCTGTGACTTCCTGGCTTTAGAGAACATGTAGGGTAGACTTTAACAGTGCAGGAGCCTAGCAGTCAAGAAGGTATGAAAAACTTAGATAACACCAAGAAGAGAGAAGCAGAAAATCAGTTGCCACAAACAAGTTGGCAGAAGCTCTGCAGGGGGTGCTTCAGGAAGTTACAAACCTACCAGGATTTTCAAATGGAAAAATATCTAGCAGTTTCAGCTTCAGACAAATCTTAGAATCACTGTATGTATAGAATCAAAAGTACCAAACAAACTTCCAAACAAAAAGAATGCTAATTCACAGTAGTAGTTTTACATAGCATTTCAGAATTCATAGAGCTGCCTCAGGCATATATATGCATAAAAGGGAACAAAAATTGAATATGTTTCTCTTCAAGGTTAAGGCATCACCAAAATAACTACAGGTCACCAGGAACAAAGGAACATTTCATGCAGGTTTGAAACCATGCTTCCCGAGTCTGCTTTGTGAAGAACAAAATCAAGCAGCAATAATGCTTAAACAGAGCTCCCCTAGGTGATGACTATTGTTGTACAGGAACAGTCTGTCTTTGCAGCACCAGTTTGCTCAAAAAAAAAAAGAATAAAAATAATCTTTACATTACCTGATATAAGGAGTATCTTAGAAAACTACAAACAGTCCCTGGAATATTATTTTTCAGACCAGAAAGGAGCCCATCGGAAAGGTGATATGGAAAGAAACTATTCAAAACACACGGACTGAGAAAGAGGGCAGGTTAGAACCAGTAATCCTGACATGAAAGCCAATGTTTTCTAAATTTAGCAGTGTCAGATTTGAACAAAACACCTAGTAGTTTAACATGTAACATTTAGTGTTCAGCAGTTATTTCAAGTAGCAAGCCAATAAAAATATTCCCTCTAATGTTGGTTATGTGCAGGGTTTTCAGTTGCCATAGAAAACTGCATTTTCCTGATGAGAATTAGTTTATCGGATGACAAATGGTCATATTAATCAGTGCACACTGCACAGAGTTTCATGACCTCAAATAACCAAGACCTTAGTGATTGCAGTTAGAATGTGAAGCAACTCAGAAGTACTTGTTAATGCTTTACGCAGCTACAATGAATTCAGGTCCGTGCTACAAATTTTCGGTATCCAGGACATAAAGCTTTCTGTTGAGACATATGGGAGAAACTTGAAAACCATTGCTGAGGGACACAGGGGGAAGGATAGTTCATACCAACCCAGGCAGCAGAGGTGTTCTGATCTACAGGTTTTGCAGGAACACGTCTTGGATTCTTGGAAGAAGGTAGCAAAGTTTCATAGCAATGGACAGGTCCCTCCCGCGGCCTCTCAAGGAACGTCAGCTCTGCCTTCCTGGCCTTGTGGGTACATTTCTTCTTTGGAGGCATCAAAAGATGTGGTAAAACCACTCGGAAACTTCATGATGCTTGCTAGAGCCAACTGGAGAAAGAGGAAAGCACCCCAAGGAGATGCTAAAATGCTCTCAGATCTGTAGAGGGCAAATAAATGGGCTTGAAGACAAACTTGTTTGGAAATTTCAGATTTAGCTTTTAACTGAAGTAAAACATTTATGCAATAGTACAGTCTATACATATCTATGCAGACTTTTTCCTACCAGTAGTTTCTGAACCTTCTATCAATTTTCATGTAAATATAGACATGCACAGCAGAACAAATAAACAATACAAAGCTTTATGAAAGCTGATAGCCAAATACTTTGACAGACAGCGATGCAAACAAAACAGGTATCCCAGCTGCAAAAAAGAGTTCTGAACTGGCCTTTGGGCAAGACTCAACAGTACTGGAAAAATTAGTTTCTTACAAAAACACGTATTTTTAATACGCAAGACAGGCAAACTCACATAGACGTTTTTCTTCATAAAATATTTTAGAAGTAATTTGAAAGACCACTGTCTATGATAAGGCCTGACTAAAATACTGAAATACAGAACCAGCTATGTTTAGAACAGGCTTGGTTGCAGAAATTTTAAGGAAATTCAAACCGCTGGGGGAGAAGAAAAAAAAATTGAATGGAAGTAGCTGACCTAGTGAACCAGCTATGTCAAGTCAGCTGTCAAAAAAACTGAAATAATTTTTTCACATTAGCTCAATATCTAGGCTAGGCACAGATAAGGAATAACTTAGGAACCGAAAGTCAGAAAAACTTGTTTTCTTTTTACAATTTAATCCATAAAACTGGATTGTAACGCCAAGATATACTGTAGGGCAGAGATAACCAGAAGCCTTTCTATTTCTAGTCTCTGGCTACCTGTACTATTTAGTTTCAGGAATTTTTAAGTTGTTTTCCTCCTGTATTCTACATATCTTGCATACCTTTGGGGGTGGATTTTTTTGTTGATTGATTTCGTTTTACCTAGTTACATAAATTTTAATTAAGGCAACATTTAATTTAACTTTTTCATCCAAAACCAGAGTAGCACAGCCGAGGCACGTTAACAAGAGCGCTTTCCACTGCACGACCGCTTACCCAGCTCCTCAGGGGTCCTGCGAGCTCCCCAAGTCAGACACAACCGTAACGCCCGCTAAACGCCGACACCCCGCGGCTCTCCACCGGCCGCTGCCCGGGCAGACAGCAGGGCTGACAGGCTGCTCCTACCAGAACAGGACCCGCATTTCCAGCACTAGCTGAACAAAGGCCCGAACAGGAACGGGGACCGAAACCGACCCCTTAGGCACATCCGTATCCCCCGCCGCTGCAGCCGATTGGTCCAATCCGCCCCGCCCCCTGCTACATCCCATTGGTCCAGGCAGGCACGTGACGCTAACGAGTCGCCGGGCGCCAAATTCAAACCTGGAAACGATCACCGCTGTGAGCGGCGGTGAAGTCCGGAAGTGTTCGCGGTTGCCGCTTCCCTCCGTACTCCCGGCCTGGTCGCGGAGGTGGTGAGTCGCTGCCTGGTGTCTCCCCGCGGGAGCTGGAGGCAGGGGGCTCGGCAAAGAGGGCGGCCAGGAGATGGAAACGTCTAGGCCCGAGCTAGGCCGGAGGGGCCCTGGGAGGGGTCTGACGGACTCACCGGAGAGCACGGCAGGGCTGGGGCTGGAGTGGGAAAAGAAGGAGGTGGGATCCATTTAGGGCTCTCCGCCTTCCCACCCCTGGGAAGCCCACGGGGCTGCTCCTGGGCCTGTGCTGGTGGTAGTGCGGCTGGGGGCCTTCTTAGGAATGTCTTGGTTTAGTGGAACAGAATTTGAGAGTCAGTTTTCTGTTGAGGAAAACTGCGATTTTGTAAGGACTGCAACACCTTATGTCATGGGAACAAAGTGATAAGGCTTTGTTGTAGGTTTCAGCTAACGTTGTTATGCTCAAGGTCTTCAGCAGTCTTGAGATAAAGCAGTGCAGAGGTTAGAGGAAGCAGAAACCTGGGGGAGTTGGCCCCAAGGTAACCCCAGACTGACCAATTAATACTATTCACACCATAAACTTCACATTCACAATATACTGGGGAGTTTGCTAAGGACGGCCCTTTTTCCTCCTTCTCTCCCTCTTCTGTGGCTGACATTTTGAGAGGAACTTGTTCACTGTTCTAACTCTGAGGCCTACTCCCCCACAATGTTGGCTGAGTATAACTCTGCGTATTTTATATCATAACTGCTATTATTATTAATTATTACTTTTATTATTATTAAATATACTTCTATTTCAACCCACTAATCTCCTTTCCTTTTCCCAACCCCTCCTCCCCGAGTAGGGCAGAGGCATCAGATGATAGAGCAACTGTATAAACGACAACAAGGAAGTGGCTCGATCCTGTAGGAAATGCAATGTTTTGGAGGCTGGCTAAGGGTTATTCTTCTGGCGTTGTCTTAGGAGTCTCTTTCTTTAAGGGAGCAGAGCAGATCCCAAAGGGCCATGCATGTGCCTGGGTGCTACAACCCATGTGCGACGCTGGACGTTTCTATCGGTGGCCTCTGGCTGCTGGGCAGCACCTGACTGCAGGGCTGTCTGCTCCTGCACGTAGGGCATCAGCTCAGTTTTGTTTCTGGTGGACTCTTTCCAGGTTGTATCTATGGAGATGACTCCTACTGAGAATTTTCTTGTTTACTAGCTGCCCTAGTCAAATTTATCAATGCAAAAGGCTGCTTTTTTTATTTGTCTCTATTCTGCATGCCTGTCCCTAATGATACACAAATTGTACTTATTGTTTATTCTTGTTCTGATATAGTTTGTGGCAAGAGACAGCCTCCACCTAATTTTTAAATGACGTGATGTTTATAAATGGTGTTCTTAGAAGGGATACGCTGCATCTTACCCTGAAAGCATATATCTGAATTTTCTCTCCTTTGCTTTATGATCTGAATTGTCTGTTGCCCAAAAGTTTGACATTTAAATTGTATGCTGCCCAATGATTAATTTATCTGGTTCTTGACAAATCTACAGAAGGAACGACTAAAGCATCTACTTTACATTTATTTTAAAGCACCTAACTGCTGCAGCATTCATTGTGCACCTTTGAAATGTTTGGGACAATCTCTGCTTCCCAGATCTTAAACCATCTGTTAAATTGCCTTTTCTCTCAGGTTTTGTGATCTGCTGGTTACAGCAATAAGATATAAGAATCAGAACTGATATTTTTACATTCTAATTTCTCTCCCCTCCAGCTTGCTGATCTATGCTGATCAAGTCAAATTACAGCTAAGTCTTAATCTCCCTTTCTGTAAAACACAGGTACATGCTTTCCTTATTATTATATACAAGTTGTGATGTGAATTACCTACTCTGCAAATATCTTTCCTGTCCTGCTTACACAAGGTGTGGATGAAGGAGGTACAGTACTGTTTTCCAGTAGCCTTGTCAACCTTATTAAATGCTTTTTTTAAAATTTTCCTTCCTTGTTTCTAGCTTTGTAGCAATTGCTGAGAATGTGTGCTCTGTGGGAGGCCTGTGGTGACCTGCTGCACCTTTCCTAGCTGTTTCTGCCCTCTGCACTCTTATATTGTACCTTTTGTTTTGCAGGATTTGTTCTTATCCCTTTCAATGGAGAGTGACTGTATAGACCAACAATGAGGACCAGCCCTCGGAGGCCCTTAATTCTCAAAAGACGGAAACTGACCCTCACACCTAAGGATGCATCCAGTACCTCAGCAAGAGATGAGAACAGTGGTCAGGAAGAAAAAGCACTTAAGCAGGATCACAGCCAGGAGGACCAACACAACAGCCAATCCAGAGACAAAATGGACTGTGGCCTGCAGAAATT